TGGTGCTGGGACAATTGCATATTTGTATGCAAAAAAAAAGAGAAACTTTCATTTTACTTCATACCATTTACAAAAATTAACTCTCTTGGCACCACAGACGTAAATGTTAGAGCTAAGGTAATCTTTAAGAAAATGAAGAGACAGGGTACAGAATAGAAGAAACTATTTGTGAAACAAGTATCGATTAAAGGCTTGTATACAAAATATATAAAGAACTCTTACAATTTAAGACAGGCAATCCAAGTTAAAAATTATGTAAAAAATTAAACTTATATTTATCACATGACTCAGCAATTATACTCCTAGTTAACTTTCCCAAGAGAAATGAGAGTATATGTCCATACAGAGCTTCATATGTGAACGATCACATCAGCATTATTTACCAAAGCCTCAAACTGGAAGCAACTCAAATATTTATCAACTGGTGAATAGATAAACAAAATGTAGTATGTCCATACAATGGACTTCTGTTGGCAGTATAATGAGCCAACTGTTGATACATGTAACAGCAAGGAGGAACCTCAAAGACATTATGCTAGTGAAAGAAGCTAGACACAAAAGACTAGTTATGATACAATTCTATTTATATGAAAGTTCTAGAAAGGGCAAACTATCAAGATAGCAGGTCAATGGTTGTCTAGGGGTGGGAGCTGTGATTAACTGCATATGAGCTCAAATGATAATGGAAATTTGGGGGCCGGTACAATGGAAGTGTTCCAAAACTGCAATTTGGTGATGATGGTACAACTGTTTACTGAACTACAAATTTACTGAAACTCAGTGAACTATTCCCTTAAAATGGGTGAATTTTATGATATATAAATTATATCCCATAAAACTGTTTAAAAAAATTCTCCATAGTGCTTTGATTATGAAATAGCTATCCAGTTTTTGCTTCATTTGACTCCAAGAAGATGACCGAGTCCTTTGTCCTTCCAGCAGTCTCTCTCAAGCTTTAAGGTGCATTAGAATCACCTGGGGATCCTGTCTGAATCGCAGATTAGAATTCAGTAGTTCTGGGAGGGTCCGAAATTATGCACTTTAATAAGCCTCCAAGTTGACACCAGTGCTGCTGCTCCGAGGACCACACTTTGTACGAAAGCCTTAGAAGTTGCTTATAATCCAGGCTACATGTTAGAATCTCCCAGAGGAGATTCTAAAACTGATGCAGACCTTCACCCAGAAATTAAATCAGAAAGCTCTTCAGGCAATTCTGATGTGCAGTCAGGCTGAGAGTCTTAACAAAATGGGATTCTTTTTACCATAATTGTGCAATAACTAGCTTCCACCTATGTCTCCCTCACACCTCACAGTTTATCCCGTAACCTAAACCCCAAATTACCATCATAATCTCTCAGAGTAACTAGGAGAGTAAACTAGCATGCTTTAATTACACATTTTAACTATAACAACATATAATATTTTGCAGGTATTGTTTACTCTCTACCCTGTGAGGTAGATACTTTTATTTCTTCCATATTGTAGAAGGAACAAAGTATAGAGAGGTGGAATGACTTGCTTTAAATCACACAGCCAGTTTAAGGGGTGTACTGAGGATTTGAAAAGAGGCTATCAGATTCCAGGGTCCCAGAAAACCTCACGCTCATCAGTACTTGCCCCCTGTAATCTTTGTTTCAGTCAGGCCTTCAGCCCCAAATTCCTAGCTCATCTTATATCTTTGGAAATGGAGCCAAACCCCACCCAAACTCAAGGCCCTTTTATTAGTCTCCAAAAAACACACCCATACCTACTCTAAGAGTGTTTCTGTACTCCAAGGACTTCCTGTGGTTTTGTTTGGCTTATAGGACTGTTGATGCTGGAGGCTCTGAGGTCTCTTACTGATTGCTTCAGCTGAAAGAGAGAGCTACAAAGCCAATTTTTAATATCCTTTTTTCTTCTCTTAAAGCTCTAATACCTTGGCCCTGAGCTATCTTGTGTCCTTAATCCTTGGCTGAGTTCCTTGAAGATAGATATATGAAAGGCTTGATGTTAGTTTTTAATCAACTATTTGTTATTTAAGTTCTGTTACTCCCCCCCACCACTCACTTTTTAAAATAGAGATTGGTTTTCATTGAAGCTTCAAGCAATTTTAGTGCCTTAAATATTCTTTGTTAACATAGTATTTTTAGAAAGCTGCATGTCAGGAAGGCCCATTTTTAATTTATCAGTGGCACCCTTAGTCTTAATATGCTAAAGCATACTTTACTTGTGAGGGCAGAATTAATCTTTTATCAGATGTACCATGGATGTTGTTGATTTTATTATTTTAGGAAAATGTGCTTGTGTTGTTTTAGAATTAATGCTACCCACATACCTTTATTTTCCAATACCTATTCAGAATGGATAAGGAAGAAACAAAGTAAGAGTCACCAATATTAAAGTTAATGCAAAGGAGATGTAAGTTGCTGCTGTTTGAAAAACTAACACAGTTGTTCAACAGGATTTCATCTTGACTATGAGGAAAGAGAATATGAAAGTAAGCCTATGATAGAGAATATTTGGCCCTTCTTTTATAAGCTACACTTTTGTGGAGCAGTGAAGAAAATGTTAGCACAATTTAAGAAGATAATTTTATACGTGGGAATTTTTTGAAGTGGGGGAAGACAAAAAAGGAATTTGTTCCTGCCCTTTGTTTAAATCAAGTGGGGCCAGGTACCAATGCCAAAAACTGTCAATGTAACTTCTTCACAGCACTGAGGCCTCAAGCTTTCATATGTCTAAGAGTCACTCAGGGGCTTGTTAAAAATACAGATCTTTGGACCTTACTTCTTTTGGCTCTGAGTTTTTAATAAATTCTTCAGGGGATTCTAATATGTATTGCATTAGTCAGCGTTCTCCAGAGAAAGAATTAGTATGAAGTGTGTGTGCGCGTCTGTGTGTGTGTGTGTGTGTGTGTGTGTGTGTGTGTAAAGAAATTTTTGTAAGGAATTGACTCATGCAATTAGGAAGGCTGAGAAGGCCCAAAATCTGCAGATGGTTAATTTGGAGTCACAAGAAGGCTAATAGATAGTTTTAGTCTGAGTCCAAAGCTGATAGTGGAAATTCCAGCATGAGTTTGAATCTGAAGGGAGGAGATCAATGTCCCAGCTCAAAGATAGTTTAACAGAGAGAGAGAGTGAGAGAGAGGGAACCAATTTTTCTTATTCAACCTTTTTGTTTCATTCAGACATTCAGTGGGTTTGGTAAGCTTCCCACCCACATTGGGGAGGGCCATCTGTTTTACCTTTTCAAATATTAATCTCATCCAGAAACACCCTTACAGACACACCCAGAATAATGTTGAACCAAATATATGGGTATCTCGTGGCATAGTCAATTTGATACATAAAATTAGCTATTATCCTGTTACTGAATGATTGGACCTGTTTGGGTGGGGAACCCCAGATGCTATTACCAGAACTACACCCCACTCTCCCCCCGGAGTCCCTCTGTTCTAGGTTCTTTGCCTGCTGCCCTTAAAAATTATGGCTTTCAATGGCAGAGTTTGGTGAAAAGGGAGGGAACTATTTATTCAAAAGTTATACAGGTTTTAAATAATGGCTAAATGTTGCCATTAAATCTCAAAATCCCTTGAAAACACCCAGCACACAGTCCTGTCTTCCCCCTTTGTCCAGTCAGGGGTACCGTCCTTCATAAGAAAAAGAACAGAAGTCTGGAGCTCAGCTACACAAATCTTTCACTGTTCCTAGCACCATCTGCTGCGTTGGCGTGAACTCCAGTTCTTAATTCAGAACCACGTGGCACCTTCTCATGGCCCACTAGCAAGAGTCCTTTCTCCCCTTTCCTTAGTGCATGGTCTTTGCATTGTTCTCTCTCAGTGTGGAGCAAACCATGTGTGAGCTCTCTGCACATGTGCTGTAACTGGGGGAACTGCTCTGCATGGCTGCTACATCTTGCTTCCCTTCATCCTAAGACACGTGATTAAGGGAGCCCCTACTCTGCTCCCAAAACTGCTGCTCAAAAGCCTCTAGCATGGCTGCTGCACCTCGGTCCAAATCCCTGCTTGAATCCTCCCTCACAACCTCATCTCCACCTCCCTCAGCAGGTGCTGCAATGGGGGGAGCTGTCTCCAGGTGACATCTGGGTTAAAGTTATGCAAACCTTCCTGGTTAGCCTTGTTGATGCAAAATAGCCATCTTTGCATATAAGGTTTGAAGTTATCCTGCTGTTATTGACATGTAAAATGACTCTCAATGGCCTTGTTCCCTATCTCCCATTCCCCATGGCAGCCCACCTTGGTTGGAAGGAGAATATCCTATATTTTTCTTGGATACCCCAAGATCTGGACCCCATTACAAATCCCCTTTGATGGGGGCTCTGGCTGAGCCCTGGATGTGCCCTGTTACAATAAGATCAAAATCTGAAGAATTTTAAGCAGTGAGGGGCAAAAATAGATTTCTTAGAAGAAACACTTGAAGGGAGAAACCTTAAAAAGAGATCATTGTTGTACTTTAGAAACCAATTGTATAATTTTCGTTATTAAAAAATCTCCACACTAGGCAAATCCACAGAGACAGAAAGTTGCCAGGGGCAGGGGATGGAATAGGGAGGTGACTGCTAATGGGTATGCGGTTTCTTTTTTTCAGTGATGAACGTGTTCTGAAATTTGATATTGGTGATAGTTATACAACCTTGTGAATATACTAAAAATCACTGAACTTACCCATTGAAAAGGTGAATTTTATGGTATATGAATTATGTGTCGATAAAATATATCTATTGAGAGAGAGATGAAGAAGTGGAGGTTGCTAGTGTTGACATCTTTGAGATTTTTTTCTATGAAGTGGAAAAACACAGGGTGATAGAGGAGATGTGGGGTGAAGGGAGTATTTAAAAAAAAAATCCACGAGAGATAATGCAGCATGTCTGTAAACCGATTCAAATGATCTAATGGAAAGGGAAATATTATTAATGCAAGTTGGGCAGAGAGAATTTGAGGAACCAAATCCTTAAATCCACTGGAATGCCACCTGAGTAACTTTTTCCTGCCTCTTCCCTAGGTGACAGATCAGTCGGTGAAAGCCTTTGCTGAGCACTGTCCGGAACTTCGGTATGTGGGCTTCATGGGCTGTTCGGTTACTTCCAAAGGAGTCATTCACCTAACTAAGGTAGGAACCATGGCTGCTTTTCCTCAGTGTTTCCAATTATCATTCATATCAATGCCCTAGCCCTGTTAAATGTTCTTGAATGAGAAATAGTCAGATCCTAATAGAAGTGTACTAGTGTTTGATGAAGTTAAAACCAGTTTAAGGCAACAATACCAAACTTATCCTTTATGAAATGAGTCACTTATTTATTAAAAAAGCAGCTTGCTTTTTTGCTTTTTCAGTGCTAATGACTATGAAATGTATGCATTAAATTAACTAATGTATGTGACAAGAATTGTTTAATTATTAATAATGTATTTAATTTAGAAAATATTTTGTTCATGTTTTAGTTGCTTACATATCATCAGCCTTCAAGAAGACAATATGGTCAAAGTGTATTTTTAAGCTGAATATGTAAGGTGAAAGAAAGGTGACTGTATATTTAAAATTAACGTTATAGCTTTCATATATACCAAATACATGATATCTCATATTTTAGTAATGATGAAAGTGCTAGTCCCTTTGTAATCTCTCCCTTATGTGACATCTCCACAGCTGTCTAGAGCTCTAAAATAATTGAGGAGTTAATTCTTATATACATGTAATGAACAAACCTGGCTCTAAAATTGATCTGTGTAATATCTGAAATTTGTCACTGCATGGATTTTAACTGTATTATATAGTACTTAGGAGAATGGAGGTGATTTTTGCCTTTTCCACTCAGTAGCTGAGTAATCTATTCAGACTTCCTTCAATACACTACAGAAAACTACTGTGTTAGCAGCACAATGCTGAAATAAAACAGGTAACATACCAGGTCTGTTTGGGCTTGGTCCCTTCAGGTCTCTTGAAGCTTACAGTTTTGTGGGAAATAATGTTTTCTTTTTTTCTCCCTAGAAAAAGAGCAAATGTTGACAAGTTACCTAGGACTATAGCAATAAGGCACAATCAGTAGGAGGCTGGGCTGTGTTTTCAGCTTGGGTTTGAATCTTGGATCTGCCATTTACTAGCTGAGCAGGCAATAATTTTTCAGGGTATTAATTGAAGTACTATATGTAAGGTGCTTGCCTTAGCATTGAGATTGCATACGTACTAAACTAAGTAAATGTTAGTTACTAAAATTAACTTAGATGCTACGATATCTAAATTGCTGGAAAATCAGAGTAAACAATGAGAAAAAAATCAAAGCACTCTTTTAATCTAGTATATCTAAAAAGAGGCTGTGATTGTCCTGTGTCTTAAATGACTGATCAGCTTTAATTGTATTTTGAGGATCAGAACCTAAAGCCAGTGGAGAGGCTTATTCTCAGTTATTGCTCTATTAGAAAAGAACACCTTATATAACCATTTGTAATATAATTTCTTTGTTCATTTCCTATAACCGTGGCCTGAACATCTTGGTAGATGAATGTTTTTCTAGTCACATCTAAAGCTATTTATAGTGTAGCATAGAAATGCCTTTGGATGAACAGATTATGCACAAGTGTTATAATGACCATATGTGGGATTTTTATGATCACTAGAAATTGTACTCATTAAAGACAAAACAAGACTTATTAGATCAGTAAGTGCCTCTTTGAGCATTTTGAGGTAGCCAAAAATTATGGTAGACTGGGACTTAAGAAATCAGAATTATTCTCTGTGACAAAATAGCAGCTACAGCAAATGTCTGCATTGGAAAGCTCAATTTTCAGAGAACGTCCTGAAGATTATAGGCCAGGATTGGTGGTTTGTCCTGCCAGCAGTTAATCTACTGTATCCATATCAAAGCAGGTCCACAGAGTTTTGAGAATCATATCTGTTAGAAGACTGGTTTGTAGTACAGTACTGCTTAATTTCCTGGATTCATGTAAAGGCAAGATAGCATTTTATTTTTATTTTTTAGTATATTGTATTGATTATGACATTACAGTTGTCCTAATTTTTCCCCTTGCCCCCCTCCACCCAGGACCCCCCATTCCCTCATGCAATCCCCCCTTAGTTCATGTCAATGGGTCAGGTATATAAGTTCTTTGGCTACTTCAATTCCTATACTGTTCTTAACATCCCTGTCTATTTTGTACCTGCCAATTTGTACTTCTTAACCCCTGTACCTTTCCCCCCATTTTCTCCCTCCCCCTACCCAAATGATAACCCTTCAAATGATCTCCATATCTATGATTCTGTTTCTATTCTGCTGGTTTGCTTAGTTTGTTTTGTAGATTCAATTGTTGGTAGTTGTGAATTTGTTGCCACTTTAATGTTCATAGTTTTGGTCTTCTTTTTCTTAAATAAGTTCCTTTAACATTCCATATAATAATAGCTAGGTGATGATGAACTCCTTTAGCTTTATCTTGTCTGGGAAGCACTTTATCTGCCCTTCAATTCTAAATGATAGTTTTGCTGGATAGAGTAATCTAGGTTGTAGGTCTTTGTTTTTCATCACTTTGAATACTTCTTGCCAGTCCCTTTTAGCCTGCAAAATTTCTTTTGAGAAATCAACTGACAGGCATTTGGGAATTCTTTTGTAGGTAACTCTCTTGTTTCTCTTGCTACTTTTACGATACTCTCTTTATCTTTAACCTTTGGCATTTTAATTATGATGTGTCTTGGCATCATCCTCTTTGGGTCCAACTTGTTTGGGACTTTCCGTGCTTCCTAGACTTGTGTGTCTGTTTTCTTCACCAAATTAGGAAAATTTTCTTTCATTATTTTTTCAAATAAGTTTTCAATTTCTAGGTCTTCCTTTTCTCCTTCTGGCACCCCTATGATTTGGATGATGGTACGTTTGAAAATGTTTCAGAGGCTCCTTAGTGTATCCTTGGGTTTTTTTGTTGTTGTTGCAGTTTTTTTTTCTTGCTGTTCTAATTGAATGTTTTTTTCTTCTTACATTCCAAATCATTGATATGATTCTCGGCTTTATCCCCTCCACTGTTGGTTCTCTGTAAATTTTTCTTTATTTCACTTAGCGCAACCTCCATTTCTGCCTGGGTATTTTTTATGCTGTTGAAGTACCCAATCAGTTTCTTGAGCATCCTAACAACCAGTGTTTTTAACTCTGTATCTGATAGATTGTGTATGTCTGTTTTGCTTAGTTCTTTTTCTAGAGTTTTGTTCTGTTCTTTTATTTGGGTCATATTTCTTTGTCTCCTCATTTTGGCAGCCTCCCGGTGTTTGTTTTTGTGTAATTGGTAGAGCTGCTTTGATTCCCTGCCTTAGTATCATGGCCTATTGTAGGAAAGTGCACCCATAAGTTGGTTGGGGCAGAGCCTTAGGTAATCATCAGGGCAGGGCAACTTATGTGAACTAGCTTGATGGAGTCTCAGATATGGTGTCGCCACTCTGTGGCTCTGTGTGGTGGAGGGCTCAGAAAAGGGTTAATGGCTGCTGCTTGGCCTCTGGAGTTTTGTCTGAGAGGAAGATGTCTCCCAGCACTCACTTTGATGCCAGTTGCTACACTTTCTTCCCATATGCCACTGGTGCCCTTTCAGTTGTTGCCTGGTAGTGAAGCCCAGAGGGAGTAAATCTGTGTAAGTCCTAAGTCTGTTGTGGGCCGTTTAAGAGGAGATTCCTGAGAATCCTGCAGTTTTTTCCTTCACCTCAATCCCTACTGATTTTTACAGCCAGAAGTTATGGGGACTTGTCTTCCTGGCCCTGGAACGCTGGGCTGTGTGGTCTGGCGTTGGACTGGGATCCCTTGCTCTCGAAGTATCCCTCTCAATTTTTATCTATCATATGTGGGTGTGGAACTGCCTGTTCTACATCTTTATGCCTCTACGCACCTCTCTATGTTTCTGTACCTCTCTGTGTTTCCATGCCTCTCCTCTCCTCTCTGATTCTCTGCCCCTCCACCTCTCCTACACATCTGGATGAATGTGGCTTCTTTAATTCTTTGGTTGTCAAACTTCCATACAGCTTGATTTTCTGATGATTCTGGGTAATATTTGTTTTGTAGTCTTGTTGTAATTTTTGCTTTGGTTGTGTGAGGAGACAAGCTCTGTGTACCTTTGCCTTCATCTTGACCAGAAGTCTGATATCATTTTAAATATGTATAACTTTTGCAAAACCATTTTAATTGTTTTACCTCTTGAAAACCAATGGTAGAAATCAAGTTTAAATAAAGTAAAAACTTTTTTGTTAAAATATTTGCATTCTGACGAAGTGTTTACATATTAAGACATTAAGAAATGTAATTTACATTCACAGAAGTTTGTAAATATATAAATGTTCCTAGAAAGTTGTGTTACTGTTATTATTCTCATGGTGTATAGTTTCTAAATAATTTGTTATCATCATAGTATATAATTTTTACATAAATAATTAGGGAGATGTCAGACACATAGTAATGAAAGCTCTCAATCTATGTATGTGTACTTTTATATGATTTAGAAAATCTCATCAACTTACTACTTTATTAAGTCTCTGGCTCTCAGTTTGCTAATAGAGGAAAGTGCCATAAAATCTCTGTGCCTTAGTTTACTTCCAAAGAAGAGAAGTGCCTGGATTAGGTGATTTATCTCTAGACATGGAGTTTCTTAAACACAGAAAAATCTATGAATTTAAGAATCATTGACCTGGAAAGGATTCTATGGGGGTTTCCCTGAAACTAAGAAATGTGAAGTCTAAAGTAAGTTAGAAAGGAAGTTTGGGGATTTGTGACAATTTATATTCTTAAACCAAGGGCAAGAAGATCTAAGAATGGAACTAGATGGAAGAATATATATAAAAAATATATGGCATATAATAAACTTTTTGTCAAAACTTCTTTGACGTCTTCCTTGAACCATTTAAAATAAGATCTTGACTGAAGGTATTTGAAAAAGAATGCACACACATACACACACACACACACACTTCTGAGCATTTAATAAACTCCCCTCACCATGGTTTCAAGCTACCAGCACACAGGCTGCACCAACACCCTAATCTTCTCTTCAGCTCTTCTGCTGAAGAATTTGACCACAATGACACACTGCTTTGGGAACTTCTCCTTCCCCAGAACTTTGTAGTAGCCTGATTGCACCACATTAACGGTAGGAGCA